CCATACACGCAACACAAGAGGTGATAGTAAAATGTAAAGTTTTGGTGTTTCTCGTTTTCGCGCAATGAATTTGCACAGCCGGGAACACGTTTGTATATAAAGTATAATTCAATACACCGTGATATGACATGTAAAATTATTAATAAATGTAAAACACTATAGGATATATACGAAAAAGTATACCTGCCGCTTACTTTGTACAATGTCGTACCATATATTTAGAAGATTCGTCAATCATCCTTGAATGAAATAAGATCGAAAGATTTACGAGGAAGAAACGAAAGAAGGAAAATACACGCAGAATGGGAAATGAATTTAATCGTTACGTTTGTTTCATTTTTCTGTCTGATTCGAACGAGAAACGTAGTCGAAAGGGAAACTGTTTCAACGAAAAAAAGAAAAGAAAGAAAAGAGCATATATCGTGTGACGGAATAACCGAGGCATATGATGGCAAATGTCTCGCTACCTACAACTAGGAAAATAACTGTTTACGTAAACTTGTTCGATCTTTATTTGTATCAACATCGTTAATGCTAAAGTTGTAATTGCTTCAATTTACAAAAGTCGTGAATTACAGAATGTGTGCATGTCAGCTATTAATTAAAGTATTTCACAATCACGAATACTATGAATAGAAAGAATAAAAGAAAACTGAAAACTTCAAGTTCGGCATGTAACTTAACTACCAGTTTGTACAACATTATATATTTTTTCTGCAATTAAACTAATCTTAATGACTTTGCGTCCAGGTAATATTTCTCTTCTATTTTCAAGAAAAGAATATAGTTATGCAGTAACGTACCATATTGTGTACATGTTCTTCGATATTTTTATTCTTTTTTAACTTCTGTCTCATCTTAAAAATAGCAGGGATCGAAATTAATTATTAAAAATTAACATCATATTTGTCTTTCGATTGTGATTTCAAATTCATTCTTTAATCTCCTTTTGAATCTTTTTGTAAAACTGAAAATGACAATTTAACATTGGTAATAGCTATTTGTAACTTTGAGAATTTTCGTCAACGTAAATCTTTTTTTTTTAAATCAGTTTAAAAAGCCAAAAAAAAAAAAAAAAAAAAAAAAAAGTAAACTTTACATACGTATTTTGATTCTGTTTCATACAATGATTGATTTATTCGAGTCGGAGCAAAATTATCGTAAAAAGAGCATGGTTCTTTGAAACTCTTTAAAAGAATAATATAATTAATTCAATTATATTATAATTATAAAATCAATTAGAATCGATATTTCCATAAATTTGTTTTCTATAACTTTTTTTGGAAATTACTTCAAAAACCGGAATGCAGCACGTAACAATTCTCAAGTCGTGATTCAGAAACTTCTAAATTTCCATTTATGTGTATCAAAAGTAAATTAATTTTACACACACACGCGCGCGCGCGCGCACACACACACACAGATATATATATATATATAGTTACATTGCAAACGAAATTAGGTAACTATTACGCGATCGTTTAAAAATTTTGTAATATATTCAACTTAAAACTATATGATACAAATCGCAAAGAACTTGGTCTTACAAACATGATAAAAAATGTGTGTATACGTTACAATCCAAATTTGTAATTCAGAAGATTTCAGAAAGATACGATTTGACGATTGCGAGACAAAAAAGTTCTCTTATTTACATTGTTGGGTAATATCTTTAATTCATCAGTTTATTATCGTAAACAAATGTATCTAGTAATTATACATTACGCTTGCATTGCACAATTCATTTGTAACATGTGTACACGTATTTCCATAGCTTTGATACACCTATATAGTTATCAAAAGAACGCATAATGAGAAGTACGATAAAGACTCTATAAAGGTTCGAAAATTAGCTGTGGAATGGAATAGTTAATTGTCTGGTAATCGTGACTTTTTTTAAACTTGTCGATATTTTGCCGACGAATGACGAACACGAAAGAGAACAAGGGGGAAAGTAAATAACCAAATTTTATAATAACGAGCTTATAACAGTTTTTAATAAAAATTTAATAATTCATTAATGAAAATAAACTAAAAATAAAAATTTCATCGTACTGTAGTACCACGCATCTTCAACAATACATCACCAGGTTCTTCGTAAATGAACAATTACAGAGTCTTTACTGCAGTTAACAATAAGCGTATCAATTTCATGCTGACAGATTTCAAACATTTCGTCGGTTTTCAGGTAGTTTATCAAATTAATAACCTGACTCATAACCCTTTTTATGCGCCTGTTTTAAAAAACAAGAAAATACGTAAAAGCAACTTTGACAAATATACGCAGTTGAAAATTTTGCAAAATAAATGCAAGTCTTTGCAAACATTTATTATGACTATTATCGTTATCAAACAGTATTTTTATATTTAATTTACAATTATTATTTTACTTATTATTATTGATACAAACAACAAGTGTAGCATCTGCAATTATTTAACTGCGTGGAATATCGATATTCGAGATAACAAATAAGTTGATGATAAAACACTTGCGCATAAAAAGAACTCGATGCTCGTACGTTGAAACTAATTCTTTTCCAAGTCTGGTCTATCAATTGCCATTCATTCTTACTATTTTGTTATTTTATTCATACCACGTTCAGTTTATTTCAACGATATCACATCCGGTACGTTAATCGACTTTTACGACACTGTAGATCTTTCGCACGAACCAGAAACAGGCAAAGAAACCAATCGACCCTATTTAAATTACACAAATACAATTGTACGATAATTTGTCATTTAAAAATGAATAAATTATTAACAAGGATGAGACAGGTGATATCTTACCTGTTAAAACGAAGAATAAGTAAACCATGATACACGTGTAACCAAAGTAAAGGAACGTAGACGTAGCATCTTCTATTTCTAATTTAGTCATGAAGAAGTGTATGCAATAGACTAATAAATAAAACGCGGTGAATCCAGATGTTAAGAAACTACGCCACCACCAATGATAGTCCTGAAAAAAGATAATTTTAATACACGTATCTACTATTCCGAAAAATGAAAAAACTGGCAAAAAGAATTATTTATTTACCTCCGCACAAAGATGAAAATAGCAAAGTAAGATCGTCGTTTCCGAACATGTAATTACAAGTATAACAAATACCAAAAAGAGAAATCCAAACATGTAATAAACCTGACTAGACCTGGAAAAATTAATTACAGTTTAAATGTTAAAGATTAAAATTTACAGAACATTTAAATTAGCAGCAAGTGTGAATAGTTGGAATTAACAAAAATTAATTAATGGAAATGACAATTGATAATTCACATTATTAAGATTATTAACGTTTGATACAAAATATGATACTTGCCATAAAGAATTGAGTATAAAGAATAATTGTATAAATATACATCCGAAAGGCAGAACTCCACCCATTATTACTCCAGGTATTGGTTGAGTATAAAAACTTTGCTCTGGTATTTGTCTAGGAATTTGATTGGTTCTTACAGGATGCTCCAGAGACTGAAATAAAATTCGTTACTAATGAATTTCTTGTCCGAAGTACGACCATTTATTTTTGTTCCTTTAATGAAGTAATTGTGTGATTAACTTGAAAAATGTTTCAAATAAGAAGAAAAGATTCTACGTTATTTTTACTGACGAAGCAAGTTTTTACCCTTTTTCTGAATCCAAAATAAGCTCCGATAAATGTCAATGGAAGAGATACACCAAACCAAAGTGCTAGAAGAGCAATAAGAGTGCTGAATGGCACTGCAGCTGAACTATCATTTGCCCAAAATATCAAATTCATTATGAAGAACAAACTGAATACGATCCTGTAAATAAAGAATTTAATAAAATTAAATATCTTTTATACGCTGATTTCAGATTTATTTTTATTTATAAAATTTGTTTTCATATCAGTGACTTCACGTTATATTATACGTATAAAATAGACATGTAATTATTAAAAAAGAATAAATTATTAAAAAGATAAAGGACAAAATATTATTAACTTTGACGGTAATTTTCAAATTTTATAACCTCACAGATTTTTCTACTTCTTCTTTCAGCAGTGTCGCTGATCTACTGCTACTACCAGATCATATTGTTTAGCCGTTTTTTACGTTTTATCTAGATGGTAAATTTGGGTTTCTTTTAAATAGACGAAAGTGCAACATTCGAGTGCAAGTTGCGTCTCGAATCTTCTGCATTCGTTAAATATCTATCTGTCGATGACAATTGCAAAACAGTGGTGATGATTTATTTAGTAGGTAATCACGGCTAATTCTGTTCATAGATTTTTATTTATCACGTACTTGTATCACGTATTTAATAATAAATCGTATTACCCTGGACTCAACATAGACGTGAGTAAAACGTTTGATTTCCATTTTTCACCGCCGAAGCTTTTATATATTCTAGCAGATACGTAACCAGCGGTGGCTCCGAGGCAAACGTACAAAACCATAGCACAAGTCATCAGAGCTCCTCTATTTGCTGGAGATAAAAATCCCAAACACGCAAATGCTGCAATATAAAATAAAAACATATGCCTTGTACTTTTTATAATCCGGCAAAACACAAATTTATATTACACGTGTACGTTCAAAAAATTTACCAAGCGTTACAAGCGTCATGTAAAACACTTGGACACCAGATCCGAGTAAAACTGACAGTAACATTCCTTTGCGGGGAGGTCGAAATACATCACCGTGAACTAATTTCCAGCCAAATTCTTCATGTGCGTCTTCTCCTGATTCTATCTGGAAGGAAGCCTGCGTTATTGAAACACAGACGAGGAAACATCATAGCTTTATGACATAAAACAGTAAACAAAACGTTGCGTAGCATGGTCTTGTTAATTAATGGAATAATGAGAGAGAGAGAGAGAGAGAGAGA